TGAGCACAGTTCCAGGATCTATGTACTGCCTCTCAGTACTTCCAAGTCCAGTGAATAAGGTATCAATCACAGAAAATAAAAAGACACCAGACTATTTAGGACTCAGACCTTCAGGCATGAAGGTGTATTCACTCCACAGGTAGAGAATTCTGACCTGCTGTGCTTCTGGGAGAGATGAGAAGACACAGAATTGGAAATGGAAGAAGGAAGTCACAGATATCAGTTCCTGCCTGTGACCAGGCAGAGAAAAAGGACAATAGTAGCTTTGCATATTTTGTCATATAGATGTGTTTATTTGTATTTATGATCTATTTTCTTCCTCTCTCTTCTAACCCTTATGATTTTATTCAAGTTGTTGATGGTTATATTTAAAATAGAGCCTCTATAGGAAACCAGCAAAATTCTAGAGGAGAACACAGGCAGAATAGTCTTTGACCTTGGCCACAGCAACCTGGTACTAGACATGTCTCAGAAGCAAGGGGAACAAAAGCAAAAATGAACTATTGGGACTTCACCCAGATAAAAAGTTTTTGGCACAGCAAAGGAAACAATCAACAAGACTAAAAAGCAGGGTACAGAATGGGAGAAGCTATTTGGAAATGATATACTTGCTAAAGGGTCTTATCCAAAATCTATAAAGAACATATTAAACTCAACAACCACAAACCAAATAATCCAGTTAAGAAATGGGTAGAAGTTAGACACTTTTTTCAAAAAGACATCCAGATGGCTAACAGAAACATGAAAAGGTGCTCAACATCATTCACATCAGGGAAATACAAATCAAAACCACAATGAGATACCACCTCACATAGTTCAGAATGGCTAAAATTAATGACACCGGAGACAATAGGTGTTGGTGACGATGTGCAGGAAGGTGAATCCTCTTGCATTGTTTGGTGGGAATGCAAACTGGTGCAGCCACTCTGGAGAAAAGTATGGTAGTTCCAAAAAAGCTAAAAATGGATCTACCGCATGATCCAGCAATTACACTACTAGGTATTTACCCAAAGCATACAGAAATACACATTTGAAGGAGTACACGCACACCGATGTTTATGGCAGCATTATTAACAGTAGCCAAACTATGGGAAGAGCCCAAATACCCTTGGAATGTTGAATGAATTAAAAAAAAGTGGTATACACACACACACACACACACACACACAATGGAATACTATTCAGCCATCCAAAAGAATGAAACCCTGCTTTTTGCAATGACATGGATGGAGGTAGAGTGTATTATGCTAATTAAAAGAAGGCAGTCAGAGAAAGACAAATTCCATATGATTTCACTCATATGTGGAATGTAAGAAACAAAACGGGTGAACATTCGGAAGGGGTAAAAGAGAGAGGGAAACAAATGATGACAGATTTTTTTGTTAAAGATTTCATCTATTTGACAGAGAGAGAGAGAGACAGAGAGAGAGAGAGAGACAGAGAACATGAGCGGAGTGGAGAGGGGCAGTGGGAGACGGAGAAACAGACTCCCTGATGAGCAGGGAGAAGGAGGACATGGGGCTGGATCCCAGGACCCCGGGATCATGACCTGAGCCGAAGGCTGAAACTTAACTGACTGAGCCACCCAGGGACCCCCCTCCCCCAACGAGAGACTCTTAACTATGGAAAAGAAGCTGAGGGTTGATGGGGGGAGGTGGGTGGGGAATGGGATAGATTGGTGATGGTTATTAAGGAGGGCACTTGTTGTAATGAGCACTGGGCATTATACGTAAATGATAAACCACTGAACACTACTCCTGAAACCAATTTTGAACTGTTTGTCAACTAAATAGAATTCAGGTTGGAGAAGAAATTCTTGAATAAGGTAAATAAATGTTTCTTGTAATTTTGTTAACATGGATTTCAATGTTCCTGAAGCAATACTTGTTTTTACTTTAAAAACTTTAGGATTGCTTGAATGTATTGTGGGAGGGAATGGAGAAAATCTCTGGGCATTGCTAGGTCCTGTTCTTCTTTATTAAACTAATTATTGAATAAAGTGAACAGCTCAGCTGAAAGGAGAAAAAAAATATAGTCTCTAGGTAACAGAATAGTCAAGGGGATTGTGACTAAACTTGAGGATTAAATAATATAAAATTGTTGGATTCAGTGACTGGGACTGCCTGTGTATTTCATTTTGGGGAAAGACTGAGAACTTCTTCATGTGTAAGTGTAGCTTTGTAGTTGGGTGAAAATATGGAGGTGTGTTGTTAAATGGAACTTCCAATGTGGGTAAA